AGGGACATCATGCTTGGGAGGGTGGAGGGACAGCGCAGGAGGGGAAGACCCTCTATGAGGTGGATTGATTCAGTGACTGGGGTAATCAGGGTGGGCCTGTCAGGGGCAGTGCGATTGGCACAGGATAGAGCAGGGTTTAGGGCTGTTGTACATAGGGTCGCTATGAGTTGCAAACGACTCGACGGCACATAACAACAATGAATCAGAATGATTGTATGAAATAGAATGTGAATGAACTATAGAGTGAAACACAATCTATATTAACTTCATAAGCAAACAATTATAAGCTATTTTTAAAAAATGTTGCTTTTTAGCATTTTAAAGACATTTTTGATGGCAGATTTGCTCAGTGCACGCTACTTGGTTTGATGTCTCGATTGCTACTTTCATGAGTGTTAGTTGTGGATTCCAGCGAAATAAATCGTTTTTTATACAATTGATTTTATAAAATTGCGATTTAAAGAAAAGTTTACAGGAAAGTTGGATCTTTGGTCATTAATTGTTGCACATTTTGCTCCCTAAGCCCCAAATTCACTTAAAGAAATATTCATTGTTGTATAATTTCCTCCCTCCCCACTTACCTCTCCCCCAGTCCACTTTGTAGTGCATCTCTTACTCTGGATTGTTGTCATACAAATAACGCCTATTTATATTCCTTTTAAATAGTTCTTTCCCTCATCTGTTCCAATGCAGTGTTCATTATTTATCCCCTCTTTTCTTAGTTCCCCCCCCACCATGTCAGTCCTGTGTTATAACAGTGGTGTTATGCAGTGTGTATCCTTTTGTGACTGAGATATTTCACTCAGTGTAATGTCGTCCAGGGTCATACATGTTGTGTAATATTCTATGAGTTCCTTGTTTTTCAGTGCTGTGTAGTATTCTATTGTATGAATGTATCATAGTTTCCCCTGTCCATTCATTTGTCGATGGGTACTTGGATAGCTTCCATCTCTATGCTATTGTGAATAAAGCAGCAATAAACATGGGAATGCATATATCTGTTTGGGTGGCAGTTCTGGTTTCTTTAGGATAAATTTCCAGTAGTGGAATTGCTGCATCAAATGGTATTTCTATTTCCAACTTTCTTTATTATTATTATTA